TGGCTGTTACGTACCTGTGAAGTTGTTGCACAGTCCACGAAGGAGAAGACAGCGGCCATAGCCGTGAAGCTTGTATCACGGAGTGACGAAGTAAGGAGGGAGAAGGACAGAGGGGGAGAGACCGAGGAAGGAGAAGGAGCGGCCATAGCCAAGAGGTGAAGAGAAGGCCGATCAAAAAAAAAAAAAAAAAAGAGAAAGAGAAGAAGAAGACAGCGGGGTGAAAGGAGGCGAGGAAGGTGAAGAAGAAGAGGGTGGCGAGGAAGAAGAGTCGGCAGCCATAGCTGATCGGAGGGTTGACCAAGAGGGTTGACCGGAGGTGTTGACCGGCCGTTACCAGAGTTGACCGGGGTTGGCCGGGGGTCATAGCAGTGTTGATCGGCATTGACCAAGGCCGTTGACCAAGGCGTTGACCAAGACTTTGACCAAGCTGGAGTTGGTAACGTCTCGCCAAGCCCTCATCCTATCCCTTGCCCTATGGATGTGCATACACCCCTTGGTACTTGCTGAGTCAAGTCAATCTGTCTATTCTTTCTGCATTGAGTCCCTTTTTTCCTAGGTGATAGTACTCTGTGGATGAAGGATAGAGCCTGCTGGCCACTCCCCTACCGGATCTAGTAGGGCTGAGACTGTGGCTGATCCAACTTTCCAGGGGGGCATAACCCTCCCAAGGACGGGTGTTGACCGGCTGGAAACGGTTGGTAGGGCACAGTGGGCATGAAAGACTGAGTTGCGGGCTGAAACACAGGCAGTCTTTAAGTATTGAGGGCCTGTTTGAACCACTCCCCTACCGGACCAAGTAAGGTTGAGGATCTATGTGTGACGACTCGACTGTCCCAAGGGATACGAACCCTCCCAAGGACCGGTACAGACCGGCGGGCTGCTCGGTGTGGCACAGTAGGCCGGAAAGGTTGAGTTGTGGGCTGAAAGCATAGGCATAACCAAGCTGATCACGTCGTCCTGTCTGAGACGTTAAAGAATTCTTGCCGAGTTGCGGGGGATCTCCTTAAATGCGTCCAGATCAGCCACTGGTTCAGTAGTGACAGCCATAGTTAGGTCTAGGCTAGAGACCATAGCTGGCAGGATCCCTGTCAGGATTCTGTGAGTCTTAGATCGAGTCAATAGGTCTGTCAGTCAGGGGTTAGAGTCTACGTGGTGAGGAGTGGAATACGTGATGAGGAGTGGAATCATTCTGATTGTGCACCTATCACCATGGTTGAGACCCGAAAAGGGACGATTACTGCCCCCTATACCGCTAAGGAGCAAGAGAAAATGGCCGCCTTAGTGAAAGAAAATAGGGAGAGAAAAGAGCGTGAAAAGCAGGCGAAGTTAAAGGCGATTGCGGAGGAACAGGCGACGAAGATGAAAGAGATAGGGGAGGAGATGGAGAAAAAGAAGAAGGCTGCTGAAAAAGAAGTGGCAGCAGAAGAAGAGAAAGAGAGGATGAGAACTGAGAGTAGAGAAGGGAGTAGTGGCACGAAGGAGGATAAAGATGCAGAGATGGAGAAGAAAATAAGTGAGTGGGTTGCTAACTTATCGTTGGGTGAAGATGAGGAGGCGCAAATGTATGTGCCAGAGGAAGAGAAAGAGGCGTTTGCCAGGGCCCTCGCAGTGATTGGGGACCCCCTTGAACGTCAAGAAGCCGAGGAGGAGAAGAGATTGGAATGGAAGTTGAGGATGAAGAGGGAGAAGAAGAGGAGGGAGGAAGCTAACTGGTTGACCGCAGAAGTGGAAAAGGTGCGGACGTGTAGACAGGAAGTCCAGGCACAGACAGACGTTTCTGCCAAAATGGACAAGATGTTGGGATACTTAGAGGTGTTGAGTGAGACCTGGTTAGAGGAACGGCAAGCCAATCAGGGCCAAGACATCACCTTGAAGGCCATGCGGTCAGGGTTTTGAGAGTTTGCGCGCGAGATCGTCACACACATTGGGGGCGAGGTTAGGCAACTGAGGGATAACGTAGGGAAGTATTGTGAGGGCGCCATCGAGGGTGCCAAGGCTATAGCTGTTGCAGTGGGCGAGGGCAGACCCCCTAAAGAGCCTATCAAGCTCAAGTTCCCAGACGCGTACGGGGGAAAGGAGGAGAACTTTGACAAATGGGAGGCCAGTGTCAACAGTTACATTTATTTGCAGCATATCTTAACAGAGGAGCAAGTCCTCGTGGCCTTCCAGGCCCTCAAGGATGAAGCGGCTAGTTTCGCCAGGTCCCTTGCGCGCGCAACTGGTTGTGAAAACAACCTTGTTGCATACTCAAAAGTCTCCCCCCTTCCTCAATTCCTTAAGCTCCTGAAGGAGCGATTTGCTGGCCCAACAAGAGGGGCGTTCGCGCCTCTGATAAACTGCAAACGATCCACTCACGGCAGTGGAGGAGTGCAAGGGCACTCAAGGGTACCATGGACGACTTGGTAGCCGTCCCGGACCACGGGGTTACTGAACCCCAAYTGGTCCARCTGTTTTATCGTRCYATGCYAGAGCCCCTGAGGGGGCACTTYWWTGACAAGTCTCAAYAGGYCGGGATCACATATGATGTGTTGAGTAGGGAGGTGGTCCTGTATGAGTCAAAGTCTATGCCAGTCACCACTTTCTGGCATAAGGACCTAGAGAAGGGGAAGAAGTGGAAGGATCGTACCATCTCAGGCCATCCTGACGTTAGAGGAAGGTGGTACAGACGAGGTCCCGTATGATCAGATTGAGTGGGGCCTAGGGGAGGAGGACAGTAGTGTAGGGCAGGGGAGGTCTTATGCTGCTGTTGCGGCTGGAGGGAAGCCGCAAGGTAGAGGAGGAGGCCAGGGCCAAAGGGGCCAGGCCATGGGAGGCCGAGGACAGGGCGCGCAAGGGGTTGGCGGCCAAGGAAACAACCAAGCGGGAGGTAGGGGTTAAGGTCCCCCGTCAAGTCGCCAGGGTAACCGGTCCCCATAACGAAGAGGTGGAAGGGCACCTCAAGGAGGATGGCACCCAGGGTTGCCACAGGGCAGGCCCTGGGGAGATCTGGGCTTGGACCAACGGTTATGCCAGGAACGCGTGAACATGGGTCAGTGCGTATTCTGTGGTGACCCGGTTCACGCAACAAAATTTTGTCCTAAGTATAGACAGGCCCGTTGGGTTGCCCAACAGCCAAAAGGCAGCCGCCAGTAGGGGTTGCAACTGCCCCTACTTCAGGGCCATGTGGAGAAGCGAGCGCGCGCGAACAGGGTTGCAGGCTCGCGCCTAGCCAGCTGTCTAGAGACCGCTTGTGTTCGCGTCTCTTTAGGCACGTCCCTCACAGGTGTGTCAGAAGAGTTAAAGGAGAGGATGCCAGCCTGGGCCAAGATGAAGAAAGAGAGTAAAGGACAACTGATCCTGGTAGATGTAGAAGTTTTTAGAAGCAGAGTAGGGCCCCTTATAGACTCAGGGGCCACCCACAGTTATGTTAGCCGTAGGGCGTTGAAGAAGCTGAAGCTAGGATTAATAGTCTAAAAGCTAGCAGACCCCATAGTCAGTGTCCTCGCAGACAACCGCACAATGTGCGTTGAGGACTACGTAGAGGGAGTCCAGGCGTACTTTCGCCTAGAGAAGGATGGGAAGGTGGAGAAAGTTCTCCATTCCCTGACTCTCCTCGTACAAGATGACCTTCGTTTTGATGTAGTGCTAGGAATGGATTGGGGAGTGGCAGCAGGGGCCACACTTCATTTGAGAGAGCACGAGTGTAGGCTCCCTAGCCCGTCAGGCGAGGTTAAGACGGCCCGCCTGTTTCATGTGTCAGGTGTAGATAACGCCTTGGCGCATTGCTGTCTCACTGCTCCCGCGTTCGCGCGTTTAGTGAAAAAGGAGCAATTAGAGGAGCAGGTCTTTGTAGTGTATGTTAGACCTGTAACCGAGGGCAAGGAAGAGGTAAGTTCCACGGATCCAACCATAGCCAAGTTGCTGGAAGAGTTCAAAGACTTGACAGAGTCGCCGACAGGGGTAGTGTCGCGACCCATCCAACACAGGATAGAGATAGAACCTGGCAGTAGAACTCCTAAGGGTGCAGTTCACAGGATGTCCCCTAGAGAGTTAGAGGAGCTGCGTAAGCAGTTAGACGAACTCCTCGAGAAAGGTTGGATCCGGCCCAGTTCGTCTCCTTTTGGAGCACCCGTTCTGTTTGTCCCCAAGAACGAAGGATAGCTTAGAATGTGTATAAACTATAGGGGTTTGAATGCGATTACGGTGAAGAATGCTGAGCCGCTGCCCAGGATAGACGATCTCTTAGATCGGGTGCAGGGTTGTAAGTATTTCACAAAGATAGACCTGAAGTCCGATCATCATCAGATAGAGGTCCATCCTGATGATCAGTATAAGACTGCGTCCCGGACTAGATACGGGCATTATAATTTCATAGTGATGCCCTTTGGACTGACCAACGTGCCAGCTACATTTCAGCGTTGCATGAATGATTTGTTCAGACCCTGGTTGGATAGATTTGTCGTAGTCTGTTTAGATGACATCTTAATTTTCAGTAAGACCCTCCGGGAACATCAGGGTCATCTCATTCAGGTCTTGGAGAAGTTTCGAGAGGCTAACTTCAAGATCAACTCGAAGAAATGCGAGTGGGCCAAGACACAAGTCTTGTACTTGGGCCACGTATTAGACGGAGATGGCATTAAGCCAGAGGACAGTAAGATAGCGGCGATTAGAGATTGGCCGACGCCCCGCACATTGACAGAGTTGCCGTCGTTCGTAGGCCTAGCTAACTACTACAGGAAGTTCGTGAGGAACTTACCCACTATCGCCGCTCCCTTGCGCAGATTGCTGAAGAAAGAGGCAATCTGGCAATGGGACAAAGACTGTACGTCTGCGGTCAAGAAGTTAAAGCGCGCGTTAATAGAGTATCCTGTCCTCAAAGTTGCAGATCCGTCTTTGCCATTTGTCGTCACCACGGACGCGAGTCAGTATGGGATAGGCGCCGTGTTGCAGCAAGACGACGACAATGGCTATAGACCCGTAGAGTTCATGTCAGCGAGGATGCCCTGTGAGAAGGTCGCTACCTCCACGTACGAGAGAGAACTCTACGCTCTCAGGCACGCTTTAGACCATTGGAAGCACTACATGCTTGGGAGGCACTTCAAAGTGTATTCGGACCATGAAACCCTTAGATGGTTAAAGACTCAGGCCAAGATGACACCTAAGTTGACTAGGTGAGCTGCAGAGATAGACCAATTCGACTTTGAGCTCAAGCCAGTGAAGGGCAAGTACAACGTAGTTGCGGATGCTCTGAGTAGGAGATTATACTACTTTGGAGCCGTAGTACACTATCTGGATATAGGGAGAGACCTGCGTATGCACAGGACCCTATCTATAGCGACCTCCTAAAGAGAATTAGGGAGGCCCAAAGGCTGAACCAGATTACCGCACTATAGATGGGTTGTTGTTTGAGAAGACTAATGTGTTTGATCGCCTGTGCGTTCCCAACAGGGAAGAGATCCGTAGTTTAATCTCAGGGGAATGCCACGATACAGAGGGACATTTCGGTTGGCAAAAGTCATTAGCCAATCTAATGCATGCGTATACCTGGCCAGGAATGAAGAATGACTTCGTAGAGTATGTCCGTAGTTGTAAAGTATGCCAGCGTAACAAGACTACTATGTGCGCACCTCTTGGTCTTCTCAGACCCTTGCCTATTCCGGATCAGCCGGGCGACTCAGTGTCCATAGACTTCATGGACACCCAAGTCAAGAGCAGACATGGTAAGAGCCAAGTCATGGTCGTAGTTGAYCGCTTTAGTAAATACGCAGTTTTTGTTCCTTTGCCTTCAGAGGCACGTACAGACTTAGTGATACAAAAGTTCTTTGACTTTTGGGTTAGTGAGAATGGAATCCCGCTGTCAACAGTCAGCGATAGAGATAGACGCTTTACCAGCCAGAATTGGCAAGAACTCATGAGAGTGTACGGATCCAAGTTGTTAATGTCATCTGGCCGTCATCCAGAGACCAACGGCCAGACAGAACAGATGAACAAAATCCTACAGCAAGTTCTGCGCATGTACAGTAGACCAGATCAGATCAACTGGGATGAGATGTTGCCTAAGGTAGCTAGTGCCTACAACAGCATCGTACATCTATCCACCTGCCGCACTCCCAATGAGTTGCACAAGTCCTTTAGACCGCGCAGACCGTTCGAAGGACTGAACCGGGATCAGACTCACAGACTACCGCCCGGTACCAGGGAATTTGCGGTACAAGACGAGAAAGAATTAGCAACTGTTGTTGAGAATCTCAAAAAGGCCCAGCATAGAATGATAGAGCAAGCTAATAAGCACCGCCGATCGTCGCAGTTTCAGGTAGGCGACTTAGTCTGGGTCAAGGCAAAGGAGTTCGCACTTGAAGAAAACATCTCGCAAAAGTTACTGCCTGCATATAGAGGACCGTGGCGGGTTCTAGAAGCCAAGGGCGGAGAGGATGGACCATCATACACTATAGAGATCCCAGTACACCTCCACACATATCCTGTGTTCCATGCTTCAAAGTTGTTGCCATGTGTTACAAGCCAACAGTTCCCTTTTAGAAGATCCATGATCCCTCCAGATATGGATGGGAGCTATGACATAGAGGACATTGTAGAGGAGGATCTGTTTAGAACAGGAGGTCGAGGTCGTCCTCAGAAACAGTACAAGGTCCGCTTTGCATATCAGGAACCGGAGGATGACCGCTGGTTTACAAGATAAGAACTCCTAGAGACAGCTCCCAATATAGTCTGAGCCTACGAAAGAGAACAGAAAGGTAAAGGTCCTGCCTTGGACTGAATGATTCTCGGAGGACCTCGAATTTAGGACGGCGGGAGTGAAACAGTATTCACGAGTTAGCAATAGCTGCTGCAGATCCCAGGGTTCGATCCCTAGACCCCAACCTTACCTGTGTACAGTACCTGTGTCGACCCGTAGAATTGAACCCGCAACCTGTGTATTTGTAATAGCTGATAGGTTGTCATAGGGTCCATAGGTAGCATGGGTTCGATCTGTAGACCTGTCGGATAGGAGTCTTAGTCAAGTCTAGACACCGTAGCTGTAGTGTTCTTGAAAGGTCAAGGTTGTAGCTGCTACAGTCCAGAAGGGTCAGAGTCGTAGCTGCTACAGTCACGAAAGGCCAAGTCTACGGCCTTTCGGAAGGTCCCAGTAGTGGCCTTTCGTGAGTTGCCCACGTTTAAGCCGAGGCAAGTGGTCAAGTGGTGAGGCAAGTGGGCAAGTGGGGAGAGTCTACCCTACTGAGTCAACAGTCTCAGTCCCCAGTCAGTCTAGCAAGTACGGCACGGGACTGTGTGCACTTCGGGCAAGGGAAATGGGCCAGACCAACGACCTGCAAAAGTATAAATCAAGAGGCAGCGCCCAGCCATTCATTCATTCATGCGGAAGCCATGCGGAAGCGCTGTCCCAGCGTCTTGTGCGAGGAGGTCTGCAGTGAGCCCGGAGGACGCAGTGGGCGAAAGAGGAGGAGTWAGCATAGCGATAGGTTAGAGGCAGCCATAGCTGYTGTAGCTGTAGTTAGTGGGAAGMGTGYGGGYGCATRTGTGAGTGTTCAGAGTGACGTGTGTGGGATATCCAGGGTGATCCAGTRTGTGAATAGTGAGTTGTTTGGGCGCTAAGTCGCCATRGCCAGTTGGAAGAGAACTCGTGTCTGGAAGCCATATCTCTGAGTTCTGAGTGGGCGCATGTCGCCAGTGTGCTGTGCTGCTGTTTACATACATGAAAAGTGTGAATAAGACGAGTCTGATTGCATTGGTATCGGAGCTGGTACCCGCTATTCCATGCGCGCTGTCGTATGCAAGACCTGATGCGCCATAGCCGAGGTGGCCGCCGAAGGTGGTAGTCCGCCATAGCGGACCTGAGGTGGAAGAAGCCGCCTTCTCCCTCCTTTTTCCTCTCTTCCCTTCTTCTTCTTTCTCTCTCTTGCCTTCTTCTTCTTTCTCCCTCTTCTCTCCCTCTGTTTCTCCCTCCTTTTTCCTCTCTTGCCTTCTTTTTCTTTCTCTCTCCCCCTTTTTTTCTTTCTTTCTCTACCTCTGTGTGGTTGTCTCCGCCTGTGGTACGCCGTACTCGCACAAGAATGCAGATCGTTGCCGAAACTTGTTTCTGCATGCCGCGGCGAAATTGTGAAGTCGATCGAGGTAGTTACACCTTCAGTTCACATGCAAGAGAACAAGCCGCTGTTGTCATAGTGTTCCCAGTGTCACAGAAAAAAAAAGAAGAAACGTTAAAGGGAGTTCGAACAGTACCTTTGAACCGCAGCACAATCGATCTACTACGTTGAACATAGAAATACATGGTTCTGGATCATTCCCCCCGAGATTAGTGACTTTCAGCTTACCGCAGGTACTCGCCAAGCTAGCGACGTTGCTTGATCAACAACGAGCGGTAAGTGCCTTTGACCCACTTGACTCGAGTTAGGCAAAACCAGCCCTCAACCGCTTACGACAAATACTTGTCGAGCTCACAATGTCACCTTACAACAGCAGGCAGCAAGCGCTTTGAACCCACTCGAAACCTCGCTTCCTCTCAGAGAAGATTAACGCTCTACAGCATACCGTGAAGTCCCCTGCTTTCGACATCGCTCGACTGTCAGTGAGCAGCAGGCACCTTAACCCTCGCAAAACTTCGGCTCTTCCCAGGCAAGATTAGCACTCAACTGTTAACCGCAGACAGTCCCCTAGCTTGCAATGTCTCTCAATTAACAATGGACTGCAAACACTTCATTGCTCAGCGCCGCCTGCACGAATACCCCTTCGTCAGGCTTCGTGGTCATTCCTCCCTATCCCGTCTCGACACTCACGCATATGGACCTTCGTTTGCTCCCGCCCTTGTCTCGCCTGCTTAGCTTATGCTCTCACACCACTTTAGCTTCTCACTACTTGGCGCACTACAGCTCGTCCTCACGCGCTCAGCCACCTCGCCCCCTTATTGTCTCACAACGTGTTGCAGTCTGACGCTCTCTCACAACGCAGCGTAACCAGACACTCCTATTATAGCGCATCGCAGCGTGTTAGACACTCTCTTACGACATAGTGCCGTCCGATCCTCTCTTGTGATTCTAGTGTCTTTGAAACGGTTTTCACCTTTTAGTAGTTGCAGATGCAGTACCCTGGGTTCAATCCCTAGACCTCGTCCTACCCATGTACAGTATCTGTGTAGACCCCGAGAGTTGAACCTGTGACCTGTGTATTCATAGACAGTTGGTAGGTCTGTCATAGGTCCGTAGGTAGCAGGGGTTCGATCTGTAGATCTTTAGAGTAGAAGTCTTAGCGAGTTCCAGAAGTCTAGCTGTAGTCCTTCTAGAAGGTCGGCAAGTGGGCAAGTGGTCAAGTGGCGAGACAAGTGGTGGACTATACTGTAGTGCAAATGCAGTACGACTACGGTAGGTTGGCAGTGAGTCCACAGTCAGTCAGCGGTAAGGTCCAGTCAGTCCCAGTCCGGTCCAGCAAGTACCACGGGGGATTGTGAGCACCATGGGCCGATGGCAAAGGGCAGACCAACGAGTTTACGAAGTATAAATCAAGAGGCAGCACCCAGCCTTTCATTCATTCCTGCGTGAGCCATGCGGAAGCGCTGCCACAAGCGACTTGTGCAAGGAGGTCTGAAGTGAGCCCAGAGGACGCAGTGGGCGAGAGAGAAGGAGCTTAGTATAGTGATAGGGTAGAGGCAGCCATAGCTGCCATAGCTGTGGTTAGTGTGAAGTGTGTGTGTGTGTATGTGCGAGTGTTCAGAGTTACGCGTGTGGGATATCCAGGGTGGTCCGGTGTGTGTCAACAGTGAGTTGTTTGGGCACTGAGTCGCCATAGCCAGTTTAAAGTGAACTCGTATCTGGATGCTATATCTTTGAGTTTTGAGTGGGCGCATGTCGCGAGTTTGCTGCGCTGCTGTTTACATGCATGAAAAGTGTGAATGAGAACGAGTCTGATTGCATTGGTATCAGAGCTGGTACCCGCTATTCCGTGCGCGCCGTCTCGTGCAGGGCCTGATGCGCCATAGCAGAGGTGGCCGCCGGGGGGCATAGTCCGCCATAGCGGATCCGAAGATGGGAGAAGCCGCCGCGCACCTACATCGAAGACCACGACGAAGAAGAAGACCGAGAGAGAGAGAGAGAGAGAGAGAGAGAGAGAGAGAGAGAGGAAAGGTTGAGCGATACAAGATTGGGTTACTGCGTACCTGCTGTGATGAAGAACCGCTACGGCGAGAGAGAGAGAGAGAGAGAGAGAGAGAGAGAGAGAGAGAGAGAGAGAGAGAGAGAGAGAGAGAGAGATGAGCGATACAAGCTTGGTTGTCACTTATCTGTGAAGCGAGTTGTGCAGTCCCACGTGGAGGAAGGAGAAGCGGCCATAGCGGCGGAGCCTCATCACAGAATAACGAAGGAGGGAAAGAGAGGACAGACGGGAAGAGACCAAGCAAGTGAGAGAAGAAGGCCATAGCCGAGAGGAGAAGAGAAGGCCGATCAAAAAAAAAAAGAAAAAAAAAGAGAAGAAGACAGCAGGGGTGAGAGGAGGCGAGGAAGGTGAGAGGAAGAAGAGGATTGGCGAGGGAAAGAGAAGCCGGCAGCCATAGCTGACCGGAGGGTTGACCAAGAGAGTTGACCGGAGGCATTGACCGACGTTGATCGGAGTTGACCGGGGGTTGACCGGGGGTTGAGCTCAACGTTCACCAAGGCGTTGACCAAGACTTTGACCAAGCTGGAGCCGGTAACATCTCGCCAAGCCTTCAGCCTATCCCTCGCCCTATGGATGTGCACACACCCCTTGGTACTTGCTGAGTTCAGTCTGTCTGTTTATTCTTTCTGCATCGAGTCTCTTCTGTCCTAGGTGATAGTACTCTGTGGATGAAGGATAGGGTCTTGTTGACCAAACCCACATGGGATGAGTAGGGCTAAAAACTGTGTCTGACGACTCGACTGTCCCGGAGGACACGAACCCTCCCAAGGACCGGTACTGACCGGCTGGCTGCTCGGTGTGGCACGGTAGGCCTCAAAATCCGAGCTGTAGGCTGCACAACAGACCGTCTAAGTCTTGAGAGACCTGCTGATCGCGTCGTCTTGTTTGCGACGTTAAATAATTCCTGAGGAGTTTGGGGGATCTCCTTAAATGCCTCCTGATCAGCAACAGGTCTAGACAGCCATAGTGTAGGTCTAGGCTAGAGACCATAGTTGGCAGGATCCTTGTCAGGATTCTGTGAGTCCATTAGATTGAGTCTATAGGTTTGTCAGTCAGGGGTTAGAGTCTACGTGGTGAGGAGTGGAATCTTTCTGATTGTGCACCTGTCACCATGGTTGAGACCCATAGTGGGAAAGACACTAGCCCCTACAGTGAGGAGCAGCAAGAGAAAATGGTCGCCTTAGTGAGAGAAAACAAGGAGAGGAAGGAGCTTGAGAAGCAAGCGAAGCTAAAGGCTATCGCAGAGGAACACGCGGCGAAGATGAAGAGATTGGAGGAGGAGATGAAGAGGATTCAGCAGGAGGAGGAAGAAGTTGCTGAAGCAGAAGTAGCAGTAGAAGAAGAAAAAGAGAGAATGAGGATTGAGWGTGGAGAAGAAAGTAGTGGCACGAAGAGGGATACAGACG